TGCATTGTTGACCAGCCGGAAGTGAAAAATCTCAACCTTGTGGATTGTTCCTTACTTTAAGAATATCTGAGTTGACCGATAACACGTAAACAAACAGCTACTTTGCGCACTTGACTTTACAACCTAAATACATGGTCACTCATAGAAAGTTAATCATACGAAATTGTATGCCCCTGTTATGGTGCGGTCTTTTCTGACCAAACCGGTCAATATGCACCATCCCTGTAAATGAACACCAGTCAGTGGTTAGAAGATGAAATCATATATCCTGGGTGGTTATACGCACATTAGACACAGGAAACAAATTCGCATTGTTGGCGTCTGCTCAACCAAGAGAGGTCAAACATTCCTAGAAGTCATTTATTTGGAAGAGGCATGCAGCAAAAAGCATGTAGATCAGGATGCCGCGTTCAGGACGGCACAGCCAATTCATACTGCGCGACGGATGCGAATCATGTTTATTAATAAGACATTTGGCTACTCATTGGATCTTTTGTTAAATACGGCCGAAAAACCAACCTTTTTCGAATTTGCCTAACTATGTATGTAAGTAACATTCTATGGTAAACTCGTGTATAGATTTTTGGTGTGCCATTTTGATCTCCGAGTCTCATCACTAAACATATGTCTGTCTGCTAATTGAGGCCTGGAGGCATGAAAATAAGATTAAGTTATCGTCGAAATTGCCCACGTAGATGTCCTTGAGTTCTTCGCAGGGTACGGATGGCGTTCTGCTGTAATCGCCTATTTATTGAAGTATACACTCATTTCAGACACAGCCTTCTCTGCCACCGAATTTGGCCGTTCATCATGTATTACGAGTAAGACCGAACGTTGTGAATCCCGGATGTTCTTCAGTTTCTTTTCAGTTCTCAACTTATGCTATTTTGTTGAGTGTAATTGCGTCCTTATCGTGTTTGACAGGCCGCTTTTGCAAAAAAAACTGTCCCGAAAGGTTTGTGCCGTACGTATTTGAATTTGTCAATCGTTTTTTTGCTGCTTAAACTTAAGCCCCACCGCACCCGCCTGACTTCCTCAAACTGGAGCGCTCCTGATCCAGTTCTTCGATTCGGGGGTCGGACCGTCTTTACTCGTGGTCGACCACCTTGGTACACGTGTGATGGCCAGCAGCAGCAGTGTTTTGTGATTGGAATTTGTGGGGGCAGCGGTAGCGGGAAGACGACCGTTGCACAGAAGATTATCGAACGTCTGAATGTCTCTTGGGTCAGCCTTCTGAGCATGGACTGCTATTACAAGGTTTGTGTTCTCGATATTCACTTTATTTTTGTGTGAC